CTTGACTCGTAAAGTGATTCATCCTCGTCACGTCACATTTGATGAATCAGTCATGTTGAAGTCACATGATTTTTAGTCCTCTCAATACCCGGAAGTCGTTACTACTATTTCTCCTACTGTCGATGATGTGGAGACAATAGACAGTCCTTACATTCCCAGTTCATCTACTCTTGATACTAGTTCAGTATCACCCGTTAATGTTGAAGAAGTCCTTCCACCAACGACTTCTACTAGTGATTTTGAAGAAGAGATTTTGAATGATGGTAGAGACCAAGGCGATACAATCCTAGTTACTGCACCTACCAGGCATAGCCAAAGGACTATTCAACTGCTTAACAGGTATGGAGATTGGGATTTTGCTAACATGAGTTTTACAAATAAGCTGGAGTTCGTTTTGCAAGTAGGGAAATAGGAGCCATTTGATATAAAAGAGGCATTGGCCTCGACCCACAGTTCTAAATGGCTTGGAGCCATGCAAGAAGAGATGAAAGCTCTCTTGAAGAACAATACTTGGGACTTATGTCCATTACCAAAGGGTAGCCATGCTATTGGTTGCAAGTGGGTTTTCAAAGTCAAAGATGACAATCGGTACAAGGCTCGTCTCGTTGCTAAAGGCTTTGCTCAACGGAAATGTATCGAGTATGACAATATTTTTGCTCCTGTTGTACGTCATACATCTATTCATGTTCTTTTGGCAATCGTGGCTATACATGATTTGGAACTAGAACAGTTAGATGTGAARACCGCCTTYCWACACGRAGATTTGGAGGAAACTATTTACATGAAGCARCCCRAAGKCTTCATCTCTGATGGCAAGCCAGATTATGTATGTAAGCTCAAGAAGTCCCTCTATGGACTTAAACAGTCGCCTCGTCAGTGGTATAAGAAGTTTGATTTGTTTATGCTCACTCTGGATTTGAGCGAAGAGAAAAGGACGCTTGTGTTTATCATAGACAATGTAGTGGTATTTTCACTTATCTTCTTCTTTATGTAGATGGCATGCTTATTGCCTGCAAGGACCGATCAGAAATCGAACGCCTGAAAGATAAGTTGAAGTCAAAATTTGAAATGAAGGATCTCGGCGTGGAGCAGAAGATTTTGGGCATGAAAATTATTCGGGACAAAAAGTCTCATACTCTTAGATTAACACAACAAGCTTATATCCAAAAGATATTGAAGCAGTTCAATCTTGATGGTGCCAAGATGTCTAGCACTCTGCTACCGAAGCACATCAAGATTACAAGTGAAGTTTGTCCGAAGGATGACAAGGAAAAGGCTGACATGTCAAATGTTCCATATGCTAGTGCAGTCGGGAGTCTCATGTACGCCATGGTGTGTACCCGTCCCGATCTCGCGCATTGTGTCGGAATGGTGAGTCAGTTTCTTGCGAATCTGGGTTTATCACATTGGGTAGCTGTTAAAACAACATTTCAATATTTGAACGGAACCGCGACACATGGTCTTATATTTGGTTTACACAATGATTGTGAAATTGTTAGATTTTGTGATTCTGATTATGCAGGTGATCGAGTAGGTTGGAGATCCACATCCGGTTATGTATTTATCTTGGATGGAACAACCGTCAGTTGGAGATCACGGTTACAGTCCATTGTGGCATTGTCAACAACGAAAGTCAAACTCGTTGCGGTGGTTGAGTCTACAAAGAAAGCGGTCCAGTTGAAAGAATTGATGAATGGCTTAGGCTTCAGGCAATCTTTCGTGCGCATTTTCTGTGATAATCAGAGTGCCATCCATTTGGAAACTAATTTGGCTTTCAGTTATCGAACAAAGCACATAAATGTGCGTGATGCATATCTTATGAGATTACATGAAGCGAAAATTGTCTATTTGAAGAAAGTCCTGACAGACGATAATGTCGTTGATACGTTCACTAAGTCACTACCGCCAGCTAAGTTTGAGCATTGCTCAAACTTGATCCATCTTCGTTTGTGTTAGTGCCGTTGGGAACTTTGGCAGAGAGAGAAGATATTACCACAGGTGACAAAATGACATCTTTGAAGGAATTACTTTGTTAATGCTTTAGAGCTTCACTTTGCTCTACCTTGTGTAAGTAGATTGTGCATTCAAGGTTATTGATTGTGCATTCAACGTACACTATCACACCGATAGTGGAACAACGCTAAATTATCGTGTTGTTATTTTGTGAACTTGTCGTTTACATAGATAATAACATATATTGTTATTATCTATATTTGGGGTTATTTATTTTTCGATAGTGTCATTGTGCAACATCTGGATCATTGTTATCCGCATTTGTTGTCGGGTTTGTTGTGTCTCTGGATTTATATTTTGAAGGGACCTTAGAAATCACTTGCTAGCTTTGTTATTGTGACACATCTTATCCAACATATGTGTGTAGTATATAGTATGTATGTAATTATAGGTGTATGTATGTATGTATGTACGTATGTAATAGTGGACATATGTATGTATGTGCATCTATGTATGCATATGTGTAGTGGATATATGTATGTATATGTATATTTGTGTATACATATGTATCTATGTAGTCGATATGTGTAACATGATATATGATCAGGGCCGGTCCTGAGATTTTTTATGCCCATGGCGAAAAGTCCAAATGATGCCCAATTAAAAACATCCAAATGTGATAATTTACAGTTGTCTAGCTTTTTCCTCCGTAGACCGAGAGATCCATTAGTGTTTTTTGTTCATAAGTGTGATCTTAGAGTTGAGTGTTTGCTTTAAAATAATATGTTAAGGTTTCATTAATCAAGTTGTTATAGCCCTTGCATTTAAACAGCAACTCATCTACTTGTCCAAAACCAAAATAAGGAGCATCATAAACCAACTCGTCTACTTGTCCCCATTTACTACATCCTATGTCTTCTGTATAAACCAAAATCAACACTCATATCTTTTCAATCCAAGTGTAAACATTTAATTGGTTGGTTCTTCTTCAATTATTTACACTTTACAACATCAATGGCTCATTCCTACTTCACTAATTTTGTCCTCCTAGTTTTATTCACTTAAGTGTTTACCTATGAAATTAGCAATTGCATGACTCCATTAGTCCATCATGTGTTTCATATAATCATATTTAGGGTCTTAACCAATGACAATCATGTGTTTCATATGTAAAATTGCAAAGTTAAGAGAGAACAGTCAAGTGAGTAACCAGAATCATTTCATGGATTTTACTTAGAAATTGCAAAAGGAAACAACCCCAAAAACAACCACAAGTCCCAACCTAACTAATGCTGACACTTGATAGAAAACCTAAGTAGGCAATTAGGCACACATTGATACATACAGTATTAGTAAATTCCCAAGCTAGTCATATGCTCAATTTCACAGCCCTAATTTCTAAACAACCCTAATATCTAAGAGTAAGTGAAAGTGACCAATTTCACAGCTTCTGTTCATTATTAGGTTTTGCAATCAAACAAGAATTAGAAAATTAAAACATAAATTAAGTAAAGTAAATAAGTAATAAAAACCCTAAGTTAAGTTTCCCTAACCTCACTCAACTTACCTCACAAGTCACAATAGTAGATAGTCATTCTAGTGTTCTGTAGGGCGGAGAGAGCGAGAGCGAGCCGAGAGGCAGAGGCGCAGAGCCGAGAGACAGCAGAGAGCGACGACAGTTGCCGGCAGGCAGCCGCAGACCGACTCTCGAGAGAGGCAGTCAGGCAGAGAGAGCGACAGCGAGAGGGTTTGCCGATTGCGATTGCGATTGAGAGTGAGAGCGTTTACCGTTTGCGATTGAGAGTGTGTGAACTGTGAGAGACAGAGCGAGGTAGGCCATAGGCGAGGCGAGCGAGAGTCGATGATGGACGGTAACAATAATTTTCTTCTAGGCCCAAATGAAACTGAACCTATATAATACATTGGGCTTTATAAAATTTGATGCCCTTGGGCTAGATGCTGCCCTGGGCCGTCGCCCCCTAGCCCTGTACATGATACATACATGTATACATGGAATAAGTTTATTGGAACTTTATGGGCTTATTGGGCCTTCGTGGCTTTCGACGGCTATTAGTAAGTTATATTGGACCTTCATGCAATGAGCTATGAATAAATTTATTGTTAGACAAGCAAATGTTTCTGAAAGTCCCATTGAAAATCCTTGTGAAGAATTTGTTGATAATCCAAATGATAACAAAAGCTTTGAAAATATTAATGATGGTAGTGAAAACATTAACAATGTTTGTGATGATGAAAACTTTGATAATGTATGTGAGGATATATTTGTACAAGAACGCATTATTTTAGGTGATGTATTTTATATTTTGTCATATAGGGTTTTGATTTATATCTCCTCGTTGTATCATTTTTGTTAAATGTAAATAAAAATGGATGTGGGAATGAACCGTCTAGCTTTACGATCAAAATCCCTTCAAATAGTTTATTTTATTTTTCATATGCGTATATAAGGGGCTGTTGTTGGCTTTTCTTCATGAGCATCCGAAACCTCAGGACCGATCAAGACTAAAGGTGTCTGACTTCACATGTGGTCCCTATTTAGTTATGCACCATTGCACGTGGCACACAGTTCATTAGAAACATGCTTTACATCGCCCTCCTGGATCCAAATTTGTTTCACATTGTTTATTAACAAATTTGACACATTTATCGTTGCTATTGCATAAAAATTTGCAACTTTATGGTTTGAGACCATGTAACCCGATTCCAACAACGTTTTTATGTATGCCTTTTTTATTATGGTAGTAATAGTGGTTAAAATTAAACCCAAATCATGATGACAACTTTCATATGTTGTTGAGGGGAAAATAAGAGCTCGACCGGATACCATCATAAACTTCCATGAGACTAACAAACCAAACCAAATGTATACAGTATATCCATTTGCAAGTAGGTTATGGGCGATAAGATGCACACATATACATTACATATATATCAAGGATTAGAGAAGTTTTGATAAGACTGATGTATTGTTTATTATTAATAGCAGGTCCACATGACATGTAGACCCAATGACGCATCAGATATTAAGTTCACATGAAAGAAGTTACTAGGTTCTGTAAGGTAAGCAGAACTCGATATTCGACAAGAGAGACACATGCTCACCAAGCTCAAATAACACCCATGCATGGATCTCCCAGTTGTAATGTGGAAACATTTCCAGGCCGCGAGAACACAACCTTTAATCAATAAGAAAACGAAAAATGTTGTGATGATTAGGTGTTTTGCAAGGATGATGAGTGCAAAAATGATTGTAAAGTATTGTGTTTCTCAAGGATGATGATCTTGTGTTTCGAAAAGTACCTGATAGTCCCCAATTGTCTCACTCTTAAAGCCAGCAGCAACATAATCAAAGTAGTATTCCCAAGTGAGGATGAATTCTTGGTTGAAGCCCAAGGAAAGGATTTTGCTAAATACCCAACAGTCAGATAAAATAATAGGATTCATGAAAGATATAGTCACTTGATAAAACGATAGTATTTTTCATTACCTTTTGTTTTTCATGAAGTTGGTCTTCCAATGTCTGAGTGTTCGGTAATAATGTGTTCCTATCTTTTCTACGTGATCCACACTGCAACATTTAATATGTAAAGCTAATAATTTGCTGTTACCTTGTCCTCTAATGTGTTCATATCTATTCTACTTACGAGAGTCTCGATGATGCGGCCATGGCTGATGTTAATCTATTAAGCGAAGGTAGGCACCCCCCGGGAAATATGTATTCGTTAATAAAGCCTGGGGTACGTCGGCTTTCATCATACCTTCCATCTTGGACTGAGATAAACTAAGATATTCCAAAGATTGCAACTGCAAATTAGTATTCTACTTAAAATGTACATTTTTCTTAAGTTAGTACAAGCTTGTTCCTTTTAGAGATTTAAAGATGAATACCTGTAGTACAAAAATCCCATCTTCTACCAGTAATGATTCACAACATCTAAAAAAATCCTCATAGTATTCATGGCCAACATGTTCTATCACTTCACTGAAAATAGACATTGCTTAGATAACCATATATTGTTATGAAGGAGTCATAGAGATGTGACATGCTCTAACTCACCAGGATATAATTCTATCGAACTTCAAAGTGTCGGGTAGTTGCCTATAATCACATAGTTGGAATTTGATTTGGTCCTGAATAGTGAAGTGCATTAAAGAACTTGAAGAAGGAAGATAGAGTAATACTTGTTTCCAAAATACATGCAATGGTGGATTTTTCTTTTTATAAATAACATACCTGTAGGCCACATTCCTTCACTTTCCTTTCTGCATATTTGAGTTGCTCTTTTGAGAGAGTGATGCCTGTGTATTTACATCCAGTTTGTTTGACTATTTCAATAGCTAAAGTTCCCCAGCCAAAGCCTATCTCAAGAACTTCATGGTTCTTATCAACTCGTGCCTATACATGTTTTAGGGGACAAAATCACTCATTTCTGGTGGGCATTTGCTTAGAAAAACGACAACACGATACCTAAACACTCACCTTTTCGATCAACAAAGATATTTTTTTCATTTGTGCTTCTTTCAAGTCTTCATCCTCATTCTATATAAAATTCCATGAAGATGAGTTGTCCTTGATTATGAAACAAGGAACAAAACTGTAAATGAATTTGAAGTACTTACCTGGAATATTGCACATGAGTATGTCATCGTCTCATCCAAGAAGAGAGCGAATAGTTCATTACTCTAAAAACACATATAAATATATATGTTAAATTGTGCTCTAATAGTTAGTTTTAGAATTATAGAAGTTCAAATATAATGTAAAACCATCCACATGCCAAATCATAGTGGCGAGATATGTTTCTGCGCGTTTGAGTAATACTGTTTTGCCTCATAACATGATGATAGAAGTACTTTGCAGATGCTATTATAGCTGTCGAAAACATTGGCGTCCACCAACCCCTGAAGCAAGACATAGCAAATTCTATTAATAGTGTGAACAACTATAAACCATGCAACATGAGACATTACTATGAAAGCTAAAAGTACCTTTTGTTAGACTTTGATGCATATGTTTTTAAATCACCATTCACAATGAAAATCTGCAAAACAGGCGAAGTTCAAAAAGGAAGCACGAGAAGCATGCAACTCCTTGAATATCAACAAAAACAATGACTTTACCATAATCATGTGTAAAAGGCCTTCTGTTTTATCAACGAATGAGAAGTCTCCATTTATGTATGCGTCAGCAAGACCTATATCAGCTTCTGTTACAATCTGCTTGAAGATTCAGCATGACAAACCATTTAGCAAAACCTTAATAACAAGATAACCATGAAAATGAAATATAAACACTAATTCAGAACATTGACCTTCCAGTAAAATTGGAGATTGTGAATCTTCATATAAACTTTCAAAGGGCCCTTCTGTATGGTTCCTTCAAAGGTGAACGTCTCGCCACCATCTTCCAATAAACTGAAAGAAATAGATGTATATATGCTTTTGCTTACGCACCTTCATTCAGTGTTGGAATAAACAAACCACATAAAATTGATAACATACATCTAAGGCCTCAAGAGCCCAAAATCATTCAATGGAGAGTATTGGTTGAACAAATGTAATGGACGATTAATGCACAAAAGATGGGTAGCATTATCTACTAAAATGAATAACTTGGCTTATGTGTGAAACARACCCTCGAGATTTTTAAGGTGATGGATGCTATATATAAGACCATGACTCACATTAAAGTGCCAATAGCAATATAATCTCGAAGGAACCTAACAACAAGCGATCGTGCTCCGGCTTCCATCAAAGAGGGTACCATTTGTTTGGGGTTGTTCAGAAATTCATAACTCTGATTAATCATGCCATTTGCTACAACCACACCCGCCTGCAATACAGTGAAAAGCCTTTTGAAGTGAATATCATATAAAAAATTGAAGCAAAGTACTGTGTCCTAAATGTTTTTGGCTATATGCATTATATAGCAACCTACCTACTTAGAGCAATTCCCATTTTAGGCAATTATTTTCTTTTAAGCAAAATATAATATTGTCACTTTATTTTTCTACCTAAAGGATGTATATTGCCTAAAACGTGAATTGTGCAAAGGTACTAATTTACGAAATGAGTTACCTTCAATTCATCCTCGTGGAATCCATAACCTATATAAATAAATAAGAGTTGGCAAAATTAAGAAGTAATTAGAGCAAGAACATAGAGGAGCATACTTACTGATCTAACAACGAACAACTGCTCCTATAATCATGAATTCAAGAAAAAGATATTGGTATACTTACTGATCTAACAACGAACAACTGCTCCTATAATCCTAATTTTAGGCAATGAACCCTTTTATGGCTTTTAAAGGAATGAGCATATATAACTTTCAACGCTCGAAGAGGATGAAAACTGTTAAAAATAAGTTAGACATATGACAGTTACAATTATGTTAGTTTCTGTCTGACAGTTATTTCTGAACAGGTACATCGTTTGGTAATAGGTAGGGGTGTGTATTAGTGAAAGGTCGTGCCTTTTGGCCTTAAGGGTATGACCCTTGGCTATGTATATTTATGTTGGATAATACCCATTGCACATTGGAGTTGTTGGTGTTAATTAGAAATTACTGTTATAGCAAACTCCCTTTTTTATGCATGTGCAGAAACTGCAGAAAAGTTTGTGCAGAAACTGCAGAAAATTTCTGCAGATTACTTTTGTTCATTTCAAACGTTCAACGTATACTTGATGTTTCTTCTCTTTAACTCCAACAAAAACTACCTTGGTATGATCCACAAAACCAAATTCCTCTCTTCCCTTGAATGTGGTTAAGCTCAGCTAAAGCCTTTGATGCTGCAACAGTTGGAATTGGTTGTCCCATTGACTGCTTAAGCAATGTGGTTTTTGGTGTTCGGGATGGATTACGAGTAAGCAGAAAAGGTAGCCCATCATCATCATCATCGATTTTCTACATTAATTTAATAATGGTAGTTGAAGAGTCAGAAATATCTTTGGCGATCATAGAAATGCAATGGCAACTAGGAAAACTTGATGGTGATGGAAAATCCCCTAGGTACAACTACAATCTAGTAGCTACTGTTCCATGTTTTCTCAAGACATTGTTTGTTGTTCTTGCTAACCTCTTATCGTGTTTTATTCATCTAAGTTTCATAAAAGGTGCAGTGCATGAAGATAAAAGTTTAAAGAATGTTGTTTCCAAGATAAGAAGATAAACAAAATTTATATCAACTTTTTTATTGATTCACATATATACATATCAAAGTTAGGATGCAGGACTGTCATACATACCTGAAGCATGTTTAACCAGTATGTTAAGCATACTTTATTATCCTTGGTTCCAAGTATATTCAATGCACTCCATGATCTCTGGTTTCGAGGCATTAGATTTTTGTCATGATGTAGAACAATGTCACTGCCATAATCATGAGAATTAGAGTTTGTAAATGAACACATTAAAAAAGATGAGATTTATAAATCACACATTAAAATGAACACATTATACTTTTTAGGTACAAACTACATGTAGGATAATCACAAATAAATGGAAGATATAATCAAGGAGTTCATTGAGAATCATGCATATTCCTTAGCCAGACGAAGTACACAACTGCAAACATATTCCAATTTGAAGAAACATACCTGTAAACATAACTAAAAGCTCCAAGTATTCTCTTTTCTTCATGTGTAGCTTCTTCTCCTAACATTCTAAGGGTATCTGGGGCATCTGCGTCTATTATGCATCCATGATACTTTTCTTGCGAACCATCTTCACAGAATATCAAACAACCTGTTGATACTCCATAAATACTCCATAACATTAATAAATGTAGAGGAAAACAGTAATTGATGAGGTATAAAAATAATTTATTTACCATTATCGATTTTGGAGACAGACTGAACCGCGGAACGTGTTCTTATTTGGCAGCCTCTAGACTCCAGTTCTTCTTTCACCTGTTACTCATTCGTGCATATAGTTAGGATGATCTAACTTTGAAACATGGGAAGATTTATTGCCTAACAATGCTAACCAAGATAAGAAAACTAATACATCACCTTTTTAATGTAATTATGTGAACCGTGCCTGACAGTAAGCCATTGAGGGCCATTGAAAAGCTAACAGAAGATGGAGGATACGTTAATGATCATCGAAAAGAATTCATGTCCTAACTACACTTGTGAAAAGTTCAAATACTTTCAGTACGTCTGAACATATATGAATAGATATACCTGAAATAGATGGTGATTGCGAAAATATGTGAGAACAGAAGTAGCAGAGAATCTCATAACTCCTTCTGTAGGGCAAGGCCAGATTGAAGAGCATATTGGAACCTGTAGTTTACATTCACATTTCACATTTCGATGTAAATTCATTTAAACATATTTGCATGTTCAAGCTTAAACCTGTGGAAGGATATATATACAGTTTTGAAGTTCTCTTACAAGATAAGCCTTTTGAAATAATTCGGAATAACCATGTGACTGGATGAAATCCGACAATGTTTCATCGCGACCACTGTGTTGGTTGTGCTCAAGCTCTTCAAGGTACCTCAAAACATCATCTTTGAAGTTGGTTAGTTCCTTGAGCATCTTCAAGAAGCAAGGATTTAGTACGTTCACTTTTTGCGCAAACAAACTTGAGAAGCTATTTCGGTTGCCCCATTCGTAGCCATGACCTTCATTTAAGCTCACTGAGAATGACATATCAGAAATCTCCATATCAACTCCAAGCTTCTCAAAGAACTCAATCGTGTTGGGATATGTAACCTGCATAATTATCCATCATACATATCTGGATAAGGCTCAATATAACCTATCAATCTAAAGATCAACCACGTACAAATTGAGCATTAAGGTCGGGTTTGGGTAAGGAAGATGTGAAAAGACGTGAATGCACCATCTAGCTTATTGTGTCAATGTTTGTCGTGAGAATATGCGAAGATTAAAACCCATATACAATTGATTAAGCACGCAACTTGTTATAACCAGGTTTCAGACAACCTGGGGGTTGAGGTAATCTTATACGTGATCATTATGTGAATTACGTGATAACATGCATAATATTAAATTAAGTGCATGAATAGTATGCGTGTATGTGAAAAATTGTTATTGTGCATACATGAATCATGTGTGTGCGTATATGATGTGAAGCATACATGGGTTTTATCATTAAAATAAGAAGATGTGATATCTTCATGGTGAAGAAAGATGGTTTTAATATAATAAAAACCTACCACCGCCTATGAATTTTATATTAATAAAAAGACTCCACCGCCTTGGTGAAAATATTTAAAAAGAGAAAAAGAGATAAGATCTTCTTTTATCACTTTATTTGAGAAAGAAACTTTTAGAGAGAAAAAAGTGTGTTTAAGGCGATGAGAGTATTCTTGAGGAGATCTGTTGCTCAAAGTGTTAGAAGATTCTGTGTTATTTGAAGATTTGTTGTGTGATTTAATCTGTAGAATTTTGTGTTTGATAAGATGAGTTTTGATAATTGAAGCCTTTATAAATGTTGTTATACAAACTGCTGGGTTTTGGTGATTTGAGATTTAGGTAAAAACAGTTTTCTAAACAGTTTAAACGAAGTGTTTTATGATCTTGGAATTTGAAACTTTTTTAGAAAAGATTAAACATCAACTATTATTTAAAACAATTTTGGGATTGATATCCTGTTTTGAGGATTTAAAAGGGGATTTGATGTTTTGAGAAACCATTTAAAGAACAGAGTGTTCTTGAGTTGAAAGTTTTGATGATAAAACTGTTTGAAACCATTATTGGTTAAAAACTATAGAGGACATCTCATTATGACGGTTGTGACTTCGATCTGTCTTCGTTTGGGATTAATCTATAGATTTTGTGGATAAAACTATGGAGGCTGTTTCATCAAGATGATTGTGACTTCGGTCTGTCTTCGTTTGGAACTAATCCATAGATTTTGATGAGGAAATAAGGGTGGCATATCAAGGAGAGGTGTACCATGGGATAAGGGTGGTATATCAAGGAGAGGTGTACCTTCGGCTATAAGGGTGGCATATCAAGGAGAGGTGTACCTTTGGATATAAGGGTGGCAATTGTGTGTGGTTATTATAGCTCTTGCTATTATGTCTCTTAAGATTGCAAGAGATTTGAGTTCTTACTTCTTTGTGATTTGAGGACTCAGAGATGTTGCTCTTATTAGAAATAATAGTATTGATGTTATTGAGAAGGAGAAAACTTGGCCTATGGCCAATGGTTTTGGATAAACTCTGTTTTGAACAAGTGTTTGATTTAAGAAGAACCGGAGAGGCTCTGGTTGTTCCTTGAAAGGAACCAGAGGGGCTCTGGTTGGTCCTCGTAATAGAACCAGAGGGTTCTGAATGATGATTTGAGATCTATAAGTCTTTTAACTAAATGTTTAGTTAAACCAGATGCTCTGTATCTATAAATAAGAGCTCTGTATCAAAATTATATTTTATAAAAGAGTTTTCAAAAAGGTTTTATACTTGGAGATTTTCTTATAAGAAAGATAGACCAGAGGGGCTCTGGTTGGTCTACCGCATTGGACTAGAGGCTTTGGTTGGTCTTGCATTTTGAGCCAGAAGCTCTGGCTAGTAGAACCAGAGCTCTGGTCATACAAGATCTTTTTTGAAAAATATGATTTTATTCTTGGGAAAGCCATTTTCTTATCTGTAATGTTGATATATGAACATTTGAGAATTTTGGTTAAGTAAGAGATTCTGGTTGGCTTAACCAGAAGCTCTGGTAGAGGAACCAGAGGAGCTCTGGTCCTCTTGTTTGTTGAAATATTTTCTAAGTCTGGTCTTTGGAACCAGAAGTCCGATGGACTCAAACAAAATTGTGGGATTATATTTCATTATGTGAAGTGATTTTATTAAAACAATGTTTTGGTGATATCCACCCTGCAACTACATGGAAAAAGGGATCTTACTAGACCTATAGGTCTAACCCTCATTTTGTGTTTTCAAATATGTATTGTAGGAAATGTTGAATACAATGATAGTAAAGGGAAAGGCAAATTATGAATTATCTCTCTATGTGCTTAGCCTTATGAAGATCGATGGATGTATTTTGATATTAGATGATATGTAGAACAAGAGCATGTATTTTGGTATTTTTGAGTTGTGTATTTTGTATTGTAGCCACTTGTACTTTGGACCTTTGTGGGCTTGAACATGTATTCTATGAATAAAATATGTGTTATATGCAATGTGAGTTTGGGGGTGTTACAGAAAGTGGTATCAGAGCTTGAGTTTAAGAGATTTAGGTATTCACATGCATGATACCTAGACTTAAACTTTTTCATGGCATATTAGGGGTCCCAGACATAGTTAGCACATTTGAATATAAATATGATAAGTTAAGAGATCAGTGTGTAAGGTATATTCGGATTACATCTGGCCAATGTAATTTTGAATCTACAGGTACATAACTGAACTTGGACACTTTATTATATTTAGGAATGTGAAAATGTGTTTATTAACTTTGATATCTACAGATGACTAGTAGATCCAGAAGGTCTGAAAAGATCACCCGCCCCAATCCTAATGAGGAAGAGGATTCCCCTATCCTTGCTTCTATTGGTACATCTGAAGGTAGAGGCCGAGGCAAAGGTAGAGGCATTAGATCAAATGATTAAATGATCAACTATTATTAAATGAAAGGGTTATATGGTAATAAGCAATTCTATCATCGATGGAGATATAGCAACATAAGGATCTAAATTCTATCATTAATGTTTTCTTAATTCTTTCTCGATCATATATCGCAATTCTATCATCGATCATATATGCAAATCAAATCCGATTTTTTGGCAATTCTATTATCGTGTTTTTCTCAATCATATATCACAAATTTAGGTTAGTCAAAATTATCAAATTTCTTCTTAATTCTTTCTCGATCAAATCTCGTTTTCTTTCAATAGGAATCTAAATCCAGAAAGCGATCTTGACCAAGATGTTAATTTTGATTCTAAAAGTATGATGCTATCTATGAATTTAAAATTAATCTGTAATAAAATAAATAGTCCATACGCAAATGACTTAAAATAGCTCATATGTGAATCATTTGGGTTCACATATACACATAACAATGAAAACAATTGATATCATATGAGAATCTATGATTTTATATGTGAATCAATTACATAGTTCATATGTGTATCACAGAGGTTCATATATGTACATATACTTCATATGTGAATCATAAAAGTTAACATACACACATATAGTGTATATGTGAATCACATGGATTCACACATGCACACATTATAATTTGTTTGCCACATATTTATAGAAATTACAAAACCACCCTTTTATCTTTCGCTAGTTGTTACCATGCAACATCTGGTGCTACATAATCAACCCTTCAAATTTTGACCGTTAATTTTTTAGTGGAACGGTTAGGATCCCTTCTTTACTTCTCACACATTTAACACTTCTCAAATGATCATATGGCTATATATATGAGTTTAATTAAATGAGCACCCTAGAATTTGTTTGATCCGTTAGATCCAATGTAAGCCATTAACTTAAGATAATTATGTTACTTATTAGATAAATATAGAAGGTAATTTAGCCAACTCATAAATGAATTTAATTAATTTATTCTTCCGATAAATAAAAAACTTATAACATGCATAAATAAAAAATCTAAAAGTCCTCAAATAAAAAAATATTAATTGTTCATGTATTCAGATTCTTACATAATGCTTTTTGGAGTCTTTATTTTTTTGGGTCTTTTGTTCTTGTTGTTATTGTGTCACATTATATTCAAAAGGTGATTATAATGCGTAAAAAATAGATGATTACAATGTGTAACAGTTCATCTGGACGCTATGCACATGAAAAACTATAAAAAAATGAAAAATTAAGGAACACCAAGGTAACCGTTCCTCTGTACAGTATGTACATGTGCATATAAGTAACTTGTAACATGTACACGTGCATAAAAACCAAAAAACAACTTCAATTACTTGTATGCACATATGCATATCGTTCAGATGAACGATTACTCCTCAGTTTTTCACGCACATACACAGACACACACATATACACATACATACACACACACACACACTATATATATATATATATAGAGAGAGAGAGAGAGAGAGAGAGAGAGAGACTCCCACTCAAATACAAACAATGGAAAGATTACATATCAATCTCAATCGTCCATCAATCTAAAAAAATATAATGATTTCATAAATATATTAATTGTTTCTGATATAAAATTAATCATAATTAATGAACTCCAATCATCTTCTATAATAAAAAAAACCTTCATTATTTCCATAAATATTGGTTTGTAGGTTTGCAATATTTAGAAGGTTGGCATTTAATTTGTCATGTGTGTATGTGTATATAGGCCCAGCTTTAGGAGAAAACTACAAAAAAAATGGAAAAACTAAATAATACCCTCATAAATATTCATCTAGACGGTATGCACAAGTGTATATAAATAATTTGTAACATGCACATATGCATAAAAACCAAGAAACAACTTCAATTACTTGTATGTACATACGCATAACGTCTAGATGAATGGTTACAGGAGTGCTCATCAGTTTTTCATTTTTTTTCCGGGTTTTCCCATGAACCTGCCTATACATACATACATACATACATACATACATACATACATACATACATACACATATTGTAGCATGAAAATATTCATGCCGGCCATTTATCAGAAAATTATTTTGCTTCTCACTTTTTTAGCTTCATGTTTGGACTTATTTATGTTGTGCCTACTATAATCAACCAAGGAGAAAATACCATTGTTTCTAGTAATGAAGTTCCTATAAAAATAGGAAATCCTTGAATAATATATTTCTTTTAGAAATATCAATAGATATTTCAAGATTTGTTCCTAATTTCATAGGGCTAATTAATTAAGAACAATCTTTCAATTCACACATATAAGTCTCACTCAAAAAATTACAACACATGTTTTACAGCAGATAATTTGCATGTTTTTCTTGTCCTTGTTCTTAACAAGCATGTCAACTCCATAAATAGAAGACAAATAGATAAAATGTAATTCAGTTATAAGTTAGAATGTAGGTCATACCTTAAAAATATTTACTATTATTATCAGAACTGTAAACTTTGAAAACGAAAGCTTCCTTTGGAGATTAATTCATGAATAGATGTCTTATACTTAACAGATATCCATCAAACAAAAAATATATATAATTAACTTGCTTGTCAGAAGCAGTCTATGCTTTTTAAAAACTATATCGAGCATGAACGAATATTGGAGACAAAGTTACCCGATTGAAGACCATGAAAGCCAGGTCCAAATCGACACCGTCGATGGTGGTGGTGTTACCATGACCACCGAGATAGTCCTCCTCGTATAACACCACATCTACCCCTGCTTTTGCCAAAGTATATGCCGCAACCAGCCCACTGAAACCTGCACCAATCACTGCGATTCTCATTTTAGACATCTGTTAAATATTGCTTCTCTCTTCCAACTTAGGATCTCATATATGCATATAATATGTGTGTGTGTGTATATATATATATATATATATATATACACACACACATACAAGTTTCTGTTTGTGTATGCGTGTTCAAACGACAACTAAGAATGCGAAAAATGCGGTATGTCCATTTCATCTAATCCCTATTGTGTACTTTCTACTAGGTTTGATGACTATAAGTTAATTTATTTATTTTAGTTTTTTGGAAAAAAATCATTTGATTTACCATTAGCTAAATTAATGTTACAATAAGTTAACATAACTTTTTGTCACTTTATTTTAAATATACCCTTGGTATATGACAAAATTAAACTTTATTTCTTTTCTTCTTTTAAAATCTAAGTTTTCGATTTTAATATTCTATTTTATATTTGTCTATGTCGATGTTATAATACGATTTTATGTGTTTTTAAGAAAACAATAATGATTTTATTTTTGAATAAGATATATATTTGAATATATCATAAAAATTTGAAGAAAAAAATATATCAATGTTAATATCAAATCAACTATTTAAAAGTTCTCATATTTT